AGAGAATGGCGGTTTCGCTTGAGACATCCTCCCAAAATCGAGCCCCGACGTACCCTCTGGTATTCCAGACCCCGCCTCGGAGCCTCCTGGGGGCCTCCCGGGGGCCTCCTGGAACCTCCTGGAGCTTCCTGAGGCCTCCTGCGGCCTCCTGGAGCTTCTTGGGGCCTCCTGGAGCCTCCTGTGGCCTCCTGGAGCCTCTTGGGGCCTCCTGGAGCCTCTTGGGGCCTCCTGGAACCTCCAGGGGCCTCCTGGTCGGGCCTCCTGAGGCTTCTTTGGGGGCCCCTGGTGCACACATCGCAAGGTGTGGCAACCCCACTTGCGCTCGAGTGCGACCCCGCTATTGCATTTCACTCCCAGCAGCTATCCTCCTCCTCCTCCTCATCATCTTCTCGTCCTTCTCTTTCCCTCCACATCTCATCTAGTGGAACAAATGCCTACTCCAGATTTCGTAATAAAGGGAGGGGGGTCTCATTTCGGGGGGGGTCTCTTCCAGGCCATCTTGGAGGGCCTGGGGGGGGTCTGGGGACGATGTTTTGGAGGGTTCTCCCAGGGGGGGGGGGTCGAAAACTTCTCGTCTGGGAGGGTTGAGACCCCCTCCCTTTTCTTACGAGATCTGGAGTAAGCAGGCGGGGGCGTTGCTGGAAATGCCACGACCTGCTGGCCGCCCCGCGCCGCGGTGGCAAGGCCAGGCGGCCGAGCGAGCGGGCCTCCCAGGAAGGCCCGGGTGTGGCCGGGGGCCCACGGCCGGCTCAGGGCCGTGCGGGCGAACTGCAGGACGTGGGCGCAGTGCCCAGACATCGGGCGTCTCGGAAAAATCGGGACGCAGGTTTTTCTAAGTTTTCGGCCTCTCGGGTCCCTCGCCGGGCCTCGGGACCGTCAAAAAACGACTCGGGATGAAAAACCGGTCCCAGGGAAGTGGTCGGGAGGTCGGGGGCCCGCGTCTCGAAAAAATCAAGACGTCGGATGTCTGGGTGCCTGGGCGTTTCTTCCTGCTGGCGTTCCTGCACTTTTTGCGTGCCCTGTGCAGTGCCACTTTGGCCGAGACGCTGTCTGTGCAGCCTGGCCGATGCACATTTGGTTGTGCGCAGGTGGGCCCGTGGACTGTGCGTGGTGCTGCCGGTGTGGGGGAATTGTTGAGTTGAAAAAGAAACGGACGTCACTTTCCCGATGCTTCAGTTTCTTCTGCGGCGCCTCCACGCGCGTCGGGAGCAGGGGGCCCCCAGGCCCTACCTGCGACTGCACGAACTCCCTGCGTGGATCCGCGTGGCCCAGGACATCGGCGCAGCGGTGGGGCTCATGAACGATACAAACTTCGGGCATCCCAACCGCTTCAAAGACCGGGTCTTCGTAGAGATCCAGGACGCCATGGCCACGACAACCTGCCCGACGAAGAAGTTGTTCATCGCAATGGGCGTGCGTTTCCGCCAGAGTCCTAGGAAGTTGGCTTCGAATCTCGCCGCGGCGAGGCCGACGAAGTGGCCCGCAGCCCTGGTGGGCCTCTAAGCGGGGCCTGCGGACGTACCGCCAGACGGGGCACACGGATAGGGCGCTCCAGCTCGGCTTGCACGCTACTGCCGCCGCGCTGGCCGCCAAGAAACCCTTCGCCCAGTGGCCCTGGAGACCGCCATCGCCAAGACCGTCAAGAAGCACTGCAAGGGCGCCGTCCTGCAGTCGTTCTGCGCGCGCCAGGCCGCGGCGGACATGACGCAGCAGACGGGCTAGGTGGGCGACTGCACCCCCGGCCGTCTGCCCGAATGCTCCCGCACCGGGTGCGGCGCCGAAGCCGGCCATTGGCACAGCCAGGCCGCGGACGGCGCCCCCCGCGATGGCGTTCCCAAGACTCTCCCGTACCAGGAGCAGACCGAGAAGTGCGAGTATTCCAAATTAGCCTGCCGGCTTAATTTCCCGTCGTGCGCCAAAAAGGCCACTTGCCGCGCATCGCCGTGCTGGCCAGTTTCGCGTTATCGCTGTCTAGCGAGACCTCGCAAGCTCTTCGAGCGCGCCGCCGGCCCCTTGGCCCCCCCGCCCGCCGCCGCGGCTCTGGAAGCCCGCCCATCATTTCATTGCATTATGGTTTTATGTAGGCCAGGGAATACTTCTAGCAACGGAACGAAACAAAACAAAAACAAAACCACACCCATCATGTACGAACAAACACATCACATATAATTACAAATGGATGCAGCAACGGATTTGTATAAACGCCTTTTCATTAAATTCGAAACGTTTCGTCGTTTGCAATATAAAAAATGCTGGCAAACGCTATGGATTGTAAGACAGCGGGGCGCGTCCATGGCAGGCGTCAATAATTTTGACAAAAAACAGCACTTAACATATTATTTCCAATTGATGCAACAACCTTTTTTTTTGATATGCGCTCTTTGGTTACATTCGAAGCGTTCTTTCGTCTGCAATATGAAAATGCAAGCCAAACGCATGGGTTGTAACAGCGGGAGAGGTCCGGGGGAGGGCCCGGGGCCGATTTGAGCAGATTTGCCCATCACCCCAGGAGGCGTCCGGGAACCGATTCGGATCAGTTCTGCGTGATTCCGCAAGCAAGCCATGGGCCAGGGCATCCGTTTGACAACGGGTCGAAATAAAACAAGGCAGGCGTCAATAATTTACACAAACAAGGACACCGAACATTATTTTCAATGGATGCAGCAACGGATTTTTATTTACGATTTTTGGTTACATTCGAAATGTTCTTTCGCTCGCACTATGAACATGCAGGCAAACGGAATAGGTTGTAACAGTAGGAGGTTTCCGGGGGAGGGCCAGGGGCCGATTTGAGCGGATTTGCTCATTACCCCGGAAGAGATCCGGGAACCGATTTTGAGCAGTTCCGCGCTCTTCCGCAGTGCAAGCGTAACCCAAGAAATACGTTTCACAGCGGAGCGAAACCAATGATTCGGGGAGTGCCCCGGGAACGTCCCGTTTTATCACCGACGCCGTCTCTTATTCCTCTGTTTTCTCTTCCCCTCGCTTGTCTTCGTCCCCCCTCAACTCCTACCTAATCCTCTTCATTTTAGAATTTCGCTTTGACTCCCCTTCCTCTTCGTTATCGTGGTGCCCTTCTCTGCTGTACCTTCCTTTGCGTCGTTCCTTTGCTTCGCCCCCCGCTCAGCTACCTCACGCGCCGATGCCCTATGGGGCAATCCAGGATCCCACCATAGACATTAGTGCCATTGCGGGCCAACAGAACCTGAGGGGAAGGAACCTGTTGGATACAAAAACTACTCTCTTTGTCCCTCCCTTTGTCGACAGCCGCCCCCCCCAACAGTAGAACGCTTGGCAACATCGTTCCACATCTTCCCTGCGGCGCTTCTCATCATTCTGCGTGTGTCATCATGGCTTGGCGCGCCCGTGTTGGTGGCCCCACTGTCCGTCGTTCAGGAGTTTGTTTCGCTTTCAACGCCTTGTCTCGTTTGCAGGGCCGTGTTCCGTTTGCAGGGCCCGGCGTCCGAAAAGAAGGCAACACAGACAAAGGTGGCAAGCATTTTCCGTTTTCTGGACAAAGCAGGCAAGGGGGCGCGAAGGCCTCGAGCCCAAGCTCCCGTCGGCACTGCTCTTACAGACATACACACGCGCACGCGCGCACGCGAGCACGTGCATGCCCCGCCGTCGTCGTCGTCGTCGTCCCCGGCTAGGCCGGCCCGACCGCCGGCTCGGCTCGGCTCGGCTCGGCTCGGCTCGGCTCGGCTCGGCTCGGCTCGGCTCGGCTCGGCTCGGCTCGGCTCGGCTCGGCTCGGCTCGGCTCGGCTCGGCTCGGCTCGGCTCGGCTCGGCTCGGCTCGGCTCGGCTCGGCTCGGCTCGGGCTCGGAGGAGGAGGAGGAGGGAGGAGGGAGGAGGAGGAGGAGGAGGAGGAGGACGAGACGAGGACGAGGACGAGACGAGGACGAGACGACGACGACGACGACGACGACGACGACGACGACGACGACGACGACGACGACGAGGAGGAGGAGGAGGAGGAGGAGGAGGAGGAGGAGGAGGACGAAGAGGGTGAGCAGGCGGCGTGGAGGGAACCAAACGCAAGGGGAAGGCGGAGGATGAGGACGTAGAGGAGGACGGGGAGGAGTAGGCGTTCGCAACCCGCGTAGAATCGTAAAAGGGAAGCAGGTGGAGGATAAGGAGAAAGAGGAAGAGAAAGAGAGGGAGGAGGAGGAGGAGGAGGAGGAGGAGCAGGAGGAGGAGGAGGAAGAGGCGGAAGAGGCAGAAGAGGAGGAGGAGGCCCGTTTCGCTTGAGACATCCTCGGAAGGCTGGGCTACGATATGCGACGATTTGGGATGATCTGGGCAGTCTCGCGTGGGACATCCTCGCTACTCCGGGTACCACGATGCGTCTGTCGGAAAGTTCCGGCGCGTTTCGCGTGACCCATATCTTCGACTTTCTGGGATCCAACATGCTTTGACTTAAGGTGATTTGGCCATCTTCGCTTGAGACGTCCTCGCAACTCTGGATTCCGAGACGCCATGAGCTGAGGTGGTCAGACCGCTTCCGCCTAAGATGCCCTCGCGACTCTGACCTCGGAGGTGCCCTGCCCCATGAGGGTCCTGCCACCTTCGCGTGACACATCCTCGCAACTCTGGGCTCCGAGATGCACTGGAATAAGGAGGTCTAGCCACTGCTGCCTGAGACATCCTCGCAACTCTGGATTCCGAGATGCCCTGCCCCATGATGGTCAGGCCACTTTCGCTTGAGACATCCTCGCAACGCTGACCTCGGAGAGGCATTGCCCTCGTCGATCCTCCAGCTCGATACCCAATCCTTTGGGAGGGGCTCGTACTCGATCTTAGATTCTTCGGCGTTCACCTCCTGGCACGCCCTGGCGGCGCCGCGCCAGCTTCCCCTTCTCCATCTCCGATCCCGCCGTCATGGTGTCCTCCTGCTCCAAACGCCCTTTCAGTTTTTTTTGGTATGAGCCTGGGCACACACGTGCCACTTGTATGTATATATATATATATGTATATATATATATATATATGACCCCGTGCATGAGGCTCGGGTGCCCGGGGCCTGAGGCTCGTGGGGGCATGGGAGGACCGGGGTTTCCCAGACCGCTCCCGGAGCAACCCGGAGCGGCCCTGGAGCTCCCAGACTGCCCCAGCCGGCGCCCAGAAGCCATCGGGGACTTCGACCAGCCCCTCCAAGACAGCCCAGATAGCCCCAAGGTGGCCCAAGGTGGGTTCGCTACACAGCCCAAGAGGCCTCCGAGAGGCCTCAAGAGAACTCCGAGAAGCATCCCGAGAGAGCCCGACGAGGCCCAAATCATTGATTGTAGTGGCCTCCGGCCAGTGCCGCCGATCCGGGGCGCTCCAGATGATGATGATGATGATGATGATGATGATGATGATGATGATGATGATGATGATGATGATGATGATGATGATGATGATGATGATGATGATGATGATGATGATGATGATGATGATGATGATGATGATGATGATGATGATGATGATGATGCTGATGATGATGATGATGATGATGATGATGATGATGATGATGATGATGATGATGATGATGATGATGATGATGATGATGATGATGATGATGATGATGATGATGATGATGATGATGATGATGATGATGATGATGATGATGATGATGATGATGATGATGATGATGATGATGATGATGATGATGATGATGATGATGATGATGATGTGACGATGGTGATGGAGATGTTGATGATTCCGGCCCCCCCCCACCCCCCCTTCTCTCTCCTGTCCCCCCCCTCTCCTGTCCCCCCCTCTCTCTCCTGTCCACCCCCTCCCCCCTCTCCCCCCCCTCTCTCCTGTCCTCCCCCCCCTCTCTCCTGTCCCCCCCCCCCTCCTCTCTCTCTTTCCCCCCCCTCTCTCCTGTCCCGCCCCCCCTCTCTCCTGTCCCCCCCCCCCTCCCCTTCTCCGGTCCCGGTCCCCCCCTCGGCTGGCAGGGGGGGGGAGGTGCCGAGCACTGAATCCGTCAGTTAATTACGTCTCGCTCCCCCCCCTCCCAGCCAGAGCTAACGCTCATGCTGAAGCAGAGCTTCAGCTTAGACTTCTTAAACTCACACGCCGGATCGGCGGATTTTCAATTGTTCTCTTTAAACTGTTTTTTGGTTTCTCGCGTTTTCGACCTTCCGACGCTCCACGACGGCCGACGACGCCCCCAAGACCGCCCCAAGACCGCCGAAGAGGCCCCCGACAGAGCCCCGAGACGGCACCAGGGAGTTTGAACATTGTCCAGGAGGAGCCCCAGACCGCCCAAGAGAGCCCCAGGACTGGCCCAAGCTGGGCCACAGAGCGGGAGCAGGAGGCGCCAAGGCGCTCGAAGACGGCCCAGATGGCCCCAACGTGGCTCCAGATGGGCCTGACACTGCCAATACACAGCCCAAGAGGCCTCCAAGAGGCCCCAAGAGAGCTCCGAAAGGCGTCCCGAAAGAGCCCGAAGAGGCACATATCCTTGATTTCCGGCTGTTTTTTCAAATGTTTTTCGCTTTCTCGCGTGCTCGAGCTGCCAACGCTCCAAGACGGCCGAAGACGCCCCGAAGATCGCCCCAAGAGCGCCGAAGAGGCCCCCAAAAGAGCCCCAAAACGACTCCGGAGAGCCTGAAGACTGCCCAAGAGCAGCCCAAGGCTGCCCAAGAGAATCCCAGGAGAGGCACAAGATGGGCCCCAGAGCGGGAGCTGGAGGCTCCAAGGCGCTCCAGGACGGCCGAGATGATTCCAACGTGGCCCAAGAGGAGCTCAAGACGGCAAACACCGCCCAAGAGGCCTCCAAGAGGGCCCAAGAGAGCTCCGAGAGACGCCCTGAGTAAGCCCAAAGAGGCCCAAATCATTGATTTGCATTGGTTTGTTCGATGTTTTTCGCTTTCTCGCGTTCTCGAGCTTCCGACGCTCGAAGACGGCCGCAGACGCTCCCAAGACCGCCCCGAGACCGCCGAAGAGGCCCCCGAACGAGCCCCACGACGGCCACGGGGAACCCGAAAATTGTCCAGGAGGAGTCCCAGACGGCCCCAGAGAACCCCAGGACAGGCCCAAGCTGGGC